GACGTTTGTAAAATGCAAGGGAGTGAAAGCAGTGTGTGGTCCCTTTAAAAGATGACGTGCTTTTTCATAGAATCATAGAATCCCTACAGTGTGGAAACAGGCCCTTCGGCCCAACAAGTCCACACCAAACCTCACAGCATTCCACCATGCCCATCCCCCTATAACCCACCTAATCTACACCGCCCTGAACACTACAGGCAATTTAGCATGGCCAATCCACCTACCCTGCACACCTTTGGATTGTGGGAGGAAACCGGAGCACCCGGAGGAAACCCACGCAGACATGGGGAGAATGTGCAAACTCCACACAGACAGTCGCCCGAGGCTGGAATCGAACCCGGGTCCCTGGTGCTGTGAGGCAGCAGTGCTAACCACTGTGCCACCGTGCTGCCCCATGCTTAGAGATTCAAAAAGGTTGTCTGTGGGCAGCAGCTTGTGGGTTTGCAGGTGCCCAGAGCACCTGAATTGAAACATTTGTATCAAAAGGCTGTCCAGTCAGCAGGCCAAGCAGCAGTTTTGTTATCAAGATAAGCTCTGAATTTAGCCAATTAATTTGAACCAGGCACCCAGATAACGAAAAAAAAATAAATCTGATAGGTTTTGACAACATAGGACGAATCCTATTGTAAGGAATATTGATATGTCATCAAGGGTATAAAGGAAGGAGCAGTTCCCATCTGCAGGAGTCAACAGCTCTCAAGAGAGAATCTCTAGCTCTCACAGTCTTCTCTAAATTTTACAGAAAGCACCATCTAAATCAAAGGTACCTACGGCACAACTACTTAATATTCCTGACAGAAGAATTCCATAGAGAAAGCATTCCTGACAGAACATTCAACGGAGAAGGCATAGAACATTCCGGAAGACATGTAATCTGGCTGTAATTTCAAGAAACTAAATTCTATTTTTTATTATTTTTGTTTTATATAAATGGGACTTGTATTTATTGGAACAGCATACCAGTAGAATCTGTGTTATTCAGGAATAGTTAGTAGTTAGAAGGGGTTTATTTGGTTTGTTAATAATTTAGTTAATTTGTTCACTGTTGGATAAATATGTTGTTACTTATTGATTATAAAATGAATGTTAGGGGTTTATTTTACTTAACCACTAGAAGTTGCTAAAAAAAGGGATTACACTCCTTCTCACACTCCTTTTAACAGATTACAGGGTGAGACCATCCTCTCTGGGTGTTTCGGTTTTAGACATCAGAGTGGGGTCAAGCTCCACTTTAGAACAAAGTTTTGCAGCAACATTCTGTGGTGCTTTCAGTAACTAATTTTGATGTTAAAAAAAAAGGCAATCCCAGCATCAGAAAGAAATTTTTACTGTTAAATTTGGATATTTTTCAAGTACATGGTAAGTGCATTTTTGGCACTAGAAAATCACATTACTTTTGAGAGTTATGAAAAATATCACAAGTTTTATGTTTTATTGACTTTACTGCAGTCTATCTATAAAAGTTGATCTTCTCACCTCTAATACGGTTCACATACTTCACTGTACTATTTCAGTTGTAAAAACTGTAATTATTTTAGCTGTTCGATTGCAATCTTGCATTTCCTCAACACAGAGATTTGTGACACAGTAAAAGTCTTTGTAATTGCTGCTACACAGCTCACAGTAGCTGAGGTAATTGCTGGACATGAACTCTGCAAATCCAGAGCAAATACGCAACATGTATCCTTCCAGATCACGGGGGCATGGTTTCTTACAACTGAAAGTACAATGTTCAAATCTATTTTTCAATTTTAATTATATTGGAACATAATTTAACTAAAATAGGTAAACAAACAATTTGCACCTATACAGGGTCATTAAAACCATTCCAAGACACTTAAAGATTTAAGGAAACAACAAATGCCAAGTCAAAGGATTTATTGTGGAGATCAAATGCTTGGTTCTTTCAACAGTGCCTTACAGAAAAGAGAGGTGGAGCATCAAAAATATTCAGAGAGAATTTAAAACTACGGAGAGTTAATTACCCACAATCCCCTGAAAGGTGTCAACTCTTACTAAGATACACTTGTGCAAATGCCATCACTTCACAAACCCAATCTTGGCCTCACCTCTAAGTAATTCCCGCATGGCTCTGTATCATTAGTAAGGACTCATGCAGACAGCACATACTAGAAAAATAACTTCTCTGATAAATAGTCAAAATAGATAAAGATGCAGCATTTTTGGTGATTACAGAAGGGAGGTCAGCATTTGAGAAGTGATTTTGGTAGCAGATTATCAGACCTATGATAAACAGTGGAAGAAAGCAATGGCGGTCATGTAGCACACAGCAGGAACACTGCTCTGCATTAGAAATGGCTGAATATCATATGCTTTAGAATAGCAGATTGTACAATCTAGGAACAACTTTGGTACACAATTCTTTTCCACACCAGAAATATACTTAACATGTGAATTTTTGGGAAGTAAACATAAAAAGCAAATCTTGCGATACTGACTAACGCTTCAACACTTTAAATCCATGTCCTGCTCTGTGCCTTCACTTTCAAATTAATCTTGTTTAAAGATTTGGAAAAATCCATTAGCTCTGTTATAGTTTCCAAGAAACAGATGCTGAAGCAAAGAAAAATAATTTCTTTCCAAAGAAAATGTCATCACATATAATGCTGGATGGCAAGATTGTTTGAAATTTGAGGTTTGTAAACATCAAGAAATATTATCTTTTTTTTGGTTTTATGTTGGAAATTTAGCAGTATGTAGTGCAAAAAGGTTTTTGGAACAGGATGCAATTATTATTTTATGCTACAGATTTTTAGTCTGATGAACCAGCTAAATGAAGTGGGTAGAACAGAATAGCAGCTTCTGCCTGTTACGCAAGCAAGCAATACTTAGTTGTAATTAATTTAGGACAAATGAAATGAAACTTCTTTCTTCTAATTCTGAAGAATTGTGGCTAAAATTGGTTACGGGAGGACATGCAGCTGTTTACTCCAATCACCACCATTGAAATATTGACAAATATAATAACTGATCCCATTTAAAATATACACAGACATGAGATGAAAGTGAGAAGGCATGCCCTCCAAACCGGAAAATGTATCATACCGGGATATATTATACCAGCAGAAACTTGGTCTCAGCAGAATCATCTACTGTCTGTATTTTGTAGATAAGATTTGAGCACCATAGGTTCAACATGGGCATAAGACATCAACAAAACAGTACTGGCCATTCACAAAGGCTTAAAAATGCAAGTCGTGTTTGTGCTGCAAACCTAAATAAAACCTCCTTGCAGCGAATCCAGAGAGCAATATGTATAAGCTTGGGTTTCTCAAAGTAGGGATCAGGACCTCAAGTAGGGTAGCAAGCCAAAATTTTGGAAATGCAAGCCCCCTTCCATTCTCTCTCACAGGCTCTTCTTCCCCTTTGATCTGCTGTCATAGTTCTCCCCATTATTCACCCAACTACCAGTTCTCATCGAGGGGCTGCAACAAATTTCACAGGGGATAACATTTGGGAAACCCTGATATAAGTACTTCCCAATCCAGAAATCTACTCCTGACTCCCCTACTAAGACGTATAAGAATAAAGATACTTCCAATATTAAGTTATTTTTAATAAATCAAAGATCTTAGAAAATGGCCTGACATTGCTGGATCAAATGGTTCATCTGCACCTTTTTTTGCTTTACCTCTGTAAAAGATGAAAAGTATACAATACTCAAAACAAAGTTTTCCTTCTCCCGACCTTCAATAGAGCAACAGTAAAATAGAAAACAATCATTTCTGTACGCTAAAATTCCAGATCACTCAAATTTAGCTTTTAAAATACTTTCCAAATCCATGACCACTTCCATCTAGAAGGACAATGGCAGGCGAGACATGGGATCACACTGGAAAGTTCTCCTCCAAGCCACTCACCAACATGACTTGGAAATAGATCTCCATTATTTCACTGTCACTGGGTCAAATTCCCTCTCTAAGGGCACGAGAGTCTAACGGTTCAAGAAGGCAGCTCACCACCACCTTCTCAAGAGCAACTAGGAATGGGCAATAAATGCTGGCCAGCCAGCAATGCTCACATTCCACAATTATAAAGAACAATAGTCTGTCTATATGTTCTCTTAAAAAAAAAATCAAAACCTATTTCAAAACAAACTGAATGATATAAATGGATTTTATACTTTAAAAATGAGAGCTTTGTCAAATATCTTTTGCTTCCCTCTTTGCACCTGGGTTCATTGTGTGAGCTACCGAAAGCAATTTACCATCAGAAGAGGCCAAACACATGATTGAGATCAAAAGTTACTGGAACTGAATAAAAAACACTTCTATTCCAAATGCACTTCTAGTTTTTTTTACCCCCCTCTCATCAGTCTAAAGCTAAAAATGTGGGGACAGAACAATGTGTCATCATGGCTCCATTCCCAGACACACACACATCCATTTGCTCCAAACAAAAGCAAGTCATTTCCTCTGCCCCCTCATTTATTGAGATACCATTTGTGACTACATCAGATGTGATATTTACTACTGGAATACAAACTTATCCCACATTCTGTTTCTATGCCAACTTCACATATGAAGAAATCCCATTGTAACAGCAGAATAGTCATCTCATTACAACATCATGGTGCCTGGAAATCCACATCTGCATGAATACAACATGTCACACTCTCACAATGAGAAGAATCTAGTAATTTCACTATGACAGTACTGAACAACATTCCCCGCCCCCACCCAGTACAGTTCAATGCTCTTCCATTAGAAAAATTTACATTATTAAGACTTAAGAAAAGGCCAACGTAAGTATGACCGTTACACGCACATATTTATAACCAAATTCAGAAGCAGCTATAGGTCATTAATGCAAACTTAAATAAAGTAGTTTAGGAAGGAATTAATAAGTGTTGCAATATAAGGCAAGACAGGACAGTAATGAAACCTATAATTAAAATAAATGAAAGCGATACAGTGGGGATGCTGGAAATCACAAATAAAAAAAAAAGTTATTCAGAAATTCTGCTGGTCTGGCATTACCTGTGGAGAGGGAAACGGAGTTATTATTAAGAGTCTTATATGCGTCTTCCTTATTTACAAGATTTTGAATTTTCCAGCAGGTTCTGTTACTGAAAAGAATGAGACATGGATAGTGTTTAAAATGTGCAGATTAGCAAATTGATAAATAAATGATTAATAACACAGAGCAGACAAGTCACATCTGCAAGTGAAAACTCTACTAACCTCCTTTAAACTAAAATGATTTCACAGACAATAGTTTTAATTAATATAAAACAAGCTACAATTCAAAGGTGTGAACATTTGTAGTTTCGTGTATTGCATTTGTATTATTCCGATTTTTCTATGGCTCAAATAATATCTTGTTTATTAAAAACAGAAATTGCTAGAGAAACTCAGCAAGTCTGGCAGCATTTGTAAGAGAAAGCAGAGTTAACGTTTTGTGTCCAATGACCCATCTTCTGTTCTGAACTCTCAACTACTAGCCCATCTCTGTCCTCCCTTTCTCAACAAATTCCTGAACACGCCATTACAATCCTCTTCTGTAACCACCTTTTTCGTTAGTATGCAATCACAGTTAACTCAGTGCTGAAAAATTATAGTCTACGCACGTTTAAGTACGTTACCACAGACTCTCTGGCTTCTCTGTTTTCTCTATAATGTTCAACAATTGCATCTTCCTCTACCACTACACTTCCTCCACAGTCTACATCTGCGGGCTCAATCTGCCATCATTCCTTTCCAATCTACCTCAACATAGCCACCATTTCTGCAATTGCCGCTTTATCTGAAGGGGCAGATTTATTGAATTCGATTTCACAACTTTTAGTGGGATTTAAATTTATGATCTCCATGCTGTTTTCCAATACCATAATCACATGACAATCAAATCCAACGTTTTCTTCACCCTGGAAAGAAAGCAATTCAAGATGAATTCCCACAGGCATTGAATATTCAAGAACTTTCTCCACCTTATCAGAACGACAGAAGCTTTGCATTTCAGTCCTCAACCCAAACCAATCCCAACTATTTGCTCAGGTAGAATCTAATGGTATGCAACCTTTGACACTAATATCACTCAAAACTGAACTTCAAACTTCACATCTGGTACATGACTAAAGACCACATTACAATATAGGAAACAGGATCAGCAAAAGACCATTCAGCCCATTAGGCTTTTGCCATCATTCACAGCTAATCTTAGACCTCAACTTCATTTACCCATATAATCTCAGATTGTGGACACCTTCCTCAGCCTTGAATAAACACAACCCTCTAAAGCTTAGCACATCAAAGATTCACAAGTTTCTGAATTAAGAAATTCTCTCTCATCTCAGTCTTAAATCCCTTATCCTGAGATTGTGCCCCTAATATTAGGCCCACTAGCCAGAGGAAACAGTCTCTCAATATCCAACTCTCAAGACCATCAGTACTCTGTACATTTCAATAAGACTATCACTCTAAACACCTAAGGATACAAGGTCATTCTCTTTGACCACTCTCATCCTTGGAATCAAACTAGTGAACCACCATGTACTTCCTTCAAAGCAGTAACTCTTTTGTTAGATCCATACATACACATTGTCAGTATGTTAGTGATCTCACATGAGGACAACCATCTTTACCACATAATATATGACTTATCTTCCATACTCTCTTGCTCCATTGTCCTACTGTATTATTAGTGGCAATTGTGGTAACACTCTATTGCATCATTTGCCATATGCAGAAATCTCCCGATAACCTCTCTCTTCAACTATGTCTTGGCCACTTCCCCTAAACCCCACTTTCAAACTTTTTCCTTTTTTTTTAAAAATTTCATTCACAGGATGAGGCCGTCGCTGACTAGGCCAGCATTTATTGCCCAGAGGCCACATTGCTGTGGGTCTGGAGTCACATGTAGCTCAGATCAGGTAAGGATGGTAGTTTCCTTCCATAAAAGGACATTAGTGAACCAGATGGGTTTTTCCTGACAATCGACAAATGGATTCACAGTCATCACTAGATTCTTAATTCCAGATATTTACTGAATTCAAATTCCATCATCTGCCCACGGCAGGATTTGAACCCGAGTCCCTAGAATGTTGTTTGGGTCTCTGGATTAACAGTCCTGTGACAATATCACTAGGCCATAGCCTCCCCCTATGATAAGTGTTAAAACAATTAAAAATTCTATTAACTACTTGCAGTCACTTTTTAAAGGATTACAAGTTCCGTAAGTAGACAAATAAATATGATTAAGCTTCAAAAAGATTAAAAAAAAACTCTAAGTTGTTAAGTAATATTAAAACTTAAACTAAACCTGGCTGATAATGGTCAGTCATATTAACTGGTGCATTCTCTAGGGCGATGGTTCTAAAATTCAGAGTCGGTTTTGCCAACCAATCAGCATTCTCCTTTTGTACAATATACACGTTCCCTTTACCTTGGTATTCCTTGCAAATTGTCCTTATGATTGCAGATAAAAGCTTTAACCATACGTGCCTTTTTCAGCAATCATTATTACATTTAGCTTTCTTCACAATTAAATCTTCACAATAAGTAATCACTACTGTATAATTATATGTTATTTGACATATTGCCTGGTACTGGGAAATATTCCAAACTGTCAACAGGGTAACATTTTGATCTGTAGCTGACTAGCAAAGTGATTCAAGCCAAGATACAGATGTAATAAGGAATAGGCATTGCACAGAAAATGACTCTGGTAGCTGCTAAATAAATATAAATAGATATGTTAGGAGAATGTGTTGGAGTGCCCAAGGACAAACTCCAACTGTCCACGCACTCCTCCTTATGACTTAACAGAAGCTCTGATAATTTGGGAGATGCAGTTTATTCTGCCTTTGAAACTTTTGCATATCTGATGCAGAATCCCAGATGAGAATACTACAAAACAACTCCACAGGCAGGAAAGGTATGGAATTGACTGCTTCAATCTACATTCTGCGAACAAGAAAGGAATGCAGAGTCACTCTAAAAAAAAAATGTTCAATTTAAATGTGATATTTTCTAGATGACCATTCCTGGCATACATTTGCCACTTCTGCCAGTATGTGGTACTGGGTTGTTATTAGGTAGTTTGGTGCCAACAATCCTGCTTTGTCTTTGCTTTGTTTTGGGCCTATACAGTAATGTATGAAAAAATATAAACAACCATTAAGTATGCTGTGATTGGTACACTTGCCGAGCTGGTTCATTAGTTCACGGATGTTTCATTACCCTGCTGGGTAAGATCAGTGCAGCCTCCGATGAAGCGCTGTTGTGTTTTCCCGCCTGGTATCCGTTGGATTTGATGACCTCATTTCCGGTTTTCCTACACAGTGGTGTAT